ACACCCTCACGGTTTTCTCGCCTTTGGCGCCATTTATATAACCTTGAAGGGAAGTGGGCGCCGAAAAACGCAATTTTTATCAAAATTTTCCTTAAGGTGCCCAAAGACTGTTTTTCTACCTGTTTTTTTTTCAAAATTTTGCGTTTCGCAGAAATTTTTGTCACAATAGGTTCTCTATAGTGTTAATGGAGTGCTAGGAAAATCAATTTGGTCGACGTAAAACAAAAAAAAGTCGATAAAAGTTTCCAAAAGCTTTTGAAAATCCGCCCAACCCCCCCTCGACAAAATCTTTACCGCCCCTGGTCCAAACTTTCAAAAGGTAGAAAAGAGCTCAAATTAAATCTAAGTTTCCATAGAATGACGATTAAGGCGCAATGACTTGTTTATACTGAATTAGAAAGTTTTCTTTTTGTTTCGACTTTTCTTTTTTTAAGACAAGATGACAGCATCCAGAATTTGGGATAGCTAGATGAAAACTTTTCTCGCAACACTTGCTGGGCAAACTCCACTGGTCCACGACAAGCACTTGTAATCATCGGAAAGCTCTGAAGATTTCGTGAATGTCCAAACCAGGGTCAAATTTAGTTAAGGCAGATGCCACTCACTCCGACACCCACCCACACCTCCCTCAGGGACTCGACCCCATCGCCATCCAGGGACCTTTTTGTATTAATTTATGATCTACATTTTTGGCAAACACACCCTCACGGTTTTCTCGCCTTTGGCGCCATTTATATAACCTTGAAGGGAAGTGGGCGCCGAAAAACGCAATTTTTATCAAAATTTTTCTTAAGGTGCCCAAAGACTGTTTTTCTACCTGTTTTTTTTTTTCAAAATTTTGCGTGTCGCAGAAATTTTTGTCAAAATAGGTTCTCTATAGTGTTAATGGAGTGCTAGGAAAATCAATTTGGTCGACGTAAAACAAAAAAAAGTCGACAAAAGTTTCCAAAAGCTTTTGAAAATCCGCCCAACCCCCCCCCCCCTCGACAAAATCTTTACCGCCCCTGGTCCAAACTTTCAAAAGGTAGAAAAGAGGTCAAATTAAATCTAAGTTTCCATAGAATGACGATTAAGGCGCAATGACTTGTTTATACTGAATTAGAAAGTTTTCTTTTTGTTTCGACTTTCGATACGAAAGTAACGGAATATTTGTGCTCGCGGTGGGTTTTTTTTTCTTCAGACAAATTTCGACTTTTCACCTAGAATTTTTTTTTATTATATCATTCAGAGGGCATTGTTACTTTGAGCTTAAAATTGAAAAGATATTTCACCTGTGATAATTTTTCGTAGAGTTATGGGGGTTTAAAGATTGCCATTTTGGCCAATTTGGGACAATTAACGCGCGATATATTTCGCGCGATTAACGCGTAAGCCGAGATTTAATCCGTCTTAGAAATTGGAAGAACTGGAAGAAGCTTATTTGCCATTATTGATTTGTTACAAGGAGCGAAATCTATTCTTTTGTAGTTTATATGGCGTGTGGGGGGATGATATTCACAGAAAAAATTTCGAATTTTAGAGAAAAAAGTTTTAATTTTTTTATTACATTTAATTTGTGAATGATATTTATGTTATTACTGCTCCATAGACTTTGAAATGCAGTCAGAACAGTCAGGGTTTTGCCCTGATATGAGCAGTCTTGTTATTACTTGCTCAAGTACAGCTGATTTTTAATTGTCATATGTTTCCAACTCAAATCGATCACAATGTCTATTTTTGTCAATCCTGTGTAATCTTTTTTTTATGTTTGTGACATGATTTGCCAATTACCCAAGTGATATATGTTTGGCGCAATATATTATATATTTAGTCAATCTAACGTAAAATTTTATCAATCTCGCTTATCATTTCATAGTTTTTTCAAGATCGTTGAAGCTATACGTTGTTTGGGCTTTTTTCGAGTTTCGCACCCCCCTCGTAAAGTTATGAAACGAAACTGCTCAAAAATGTTCACCTTGTAAAAATTTGTTCACCTGATCACGCTGACATGTTTTGTTGCAGTTTCTAATGTGGAAAGTCATTTTAAATAGATTCTAATCGAATTAGTTTCAGAAAAAATTTTGTCTAAATTTTTATAATTGGGTAATTTGATTGACATTGATTACTTTTGAATTTTCACCCGTGTTGAAGTCACCGAGCAATTAGGTTTTTTGCCAGAAAAATAACGAAAAATGTTCCAAATTGTAGATCTTGTAATATAGATCAATTACAAGACTGTATCAGGTCAAAGCCTTGAATATCCATCTGTCTCTCAAGATCTATGAAGTAAAGTTTGCCTAATTAAAGTGCAAATATTTTATGATAGCAAATTATCAAAAGAACCAAACAATTAGCATGTTTCAATTTAACTCGGAGCGATTTCTAAGACGGGTTAAGTCTTCGCTTAAGCGTCAATACCTCGAAATATGTAGCGCATTACTTATCCCAAATTGACAAAATTGACAAAATGTAACCACCCATAACTTTTAGAAAAAGGTTATAAGTAAGATATCTGTTTAAAGTTCAGCTCAAGGCAACAATACTTTACGGCTGATGTTAAAAAAATGCAACAAAAACGACTAACCGAAAAATCGAACTTTGTCCAAAAAAAAACACCCCGAGCACAAATAATCCGTGATTTTCTTCTAAAGTCAGAACCAATTAAATTTTCTTATCGTACTGGGATGCTGATCATCAGGGTTGACAAGAAAAGTAATCATACAATTCTCGTTGGTTTTACAATACTCTTCATTCATTAAAGAAGGTAAGAAAACTTTATGAACATCTTTTTTTTTCGATATATGAAAAATGTATGACTTTTTGAATGGAATTTTGTGACTAGCATTCTTCCACAAACGACAACACTGCACAATTTTTTCCCGATTTGTAACTTTTAAAAACCTTGGGTTTGTTTGAAAACAAGGTAAACCTAATTAATGTATTGAATACCCATGGGTAAAACGACCTCTAAACTTTCATGAAAGAATTGCATTAGTTGATTATGTCTTGAAATAAAAACCAATTCAGAAGAACAATTTTAACGCTCATTTTCTTGAAATTGGCTCTGAAATTTTTTATGGCATATTTTTTCGCTGAAGATAAATTATGTAGTAGATAAATAACTGCTACATATTGCATCTAGATTATTTGTGAACAAATTGAAACAAGCAGTGTCGAGATGTGAACAAAACTCTTAATGCAATATAAGCTGTTGCTTATTTGGTATTTTCAAAATTTTCAATCCCACACGTGATGCTAATTCTCTATCATTTTCAAAATGGACCAATTTCCTGCTCAAAATTTGATGATTATTCCCTTGAAGCTCCAACAGGTCGCTGGCAAATTCGATGGCTGAAAAACACTTGGAAACCATGGATATAACTCGTATTATGCCACCACAAACTAAAAATTAGGCTAAACAGTTCGCCGAAAAACTTCCACTCCTTTAATTGCGCTAAGGCGGCGGTTAAATTACTCACCTTTTTAAATCACCCCAAAATATGTGATTGCATAAGTTCCAAAAACCTGATAACGAGTTTCTTGGATGCACAATTGACAATCTCTTGAAGTCTTTTTACCAGTGGCAAAGGAGTACTGCACTCGTTTTTTTTCGAAGAAGTAAGCACAGAACATAGAGTCAACTAGCATCCAAAAGTTATTCATCAGATGTTTGTTAGCTTTCGATGACATACAATGAACAGCTACCGACTGAAAAAGTTGAAGCGTGCTAGGGCCCTTTGTCCAAAATACCAAAAAGCGGAAGAAAAAAAGAAAAACGAAATGAGCGAAGTGTTGACTAGACCTGCCGCAGCAACTACAAAGCATTTCGCACTTGACGAAGATTTCAATTGGTCAGCAGACTTGAGTACTAATTGTTTGAATTTGTGTTGTTTCATCGATACTGGGTAACAATGTATTCAATTGGAATGTTGTGATGAACAAACAAATAAATCAAAACGAGACTAAGATTTTGAAAACTATTTATCAAAGCTTTATATAAATAATGTTCCGTGTAAAATGCAGAATGGTTCGTATAAAGCTCATAAAGCTATTTCAAGCGTGTATATTATGCGTAACTTTTTAACAAAAAGTGTCTGGTACTGACCAAAACTTTTAAAAAATTGTGTTTCCACTGAACATTAGGACACCAAACTGTGTAATATAAATGTAGATTTGGCAAAATTAGTTGCTCAAAAAATGGGCATTAATAGAACTAAGCTATCCGAGAATCCGCTACTGTAAGCGGAATCCGCAAAAGGTCAGCACAATCCGCAAATCATAAACGCAATCCGCAAAACGTAAGCAGAACTGGCAAGTTATGATTGGAATGCGCTTATTTTTGAGGAATTGCGGAATCTGCGGCAAACCTCTTGTTTCCACAAAACTTACGTTCACGTATTTGTGCGCAGAATTTGTGATTTTTTTCCTTGGAATCCCTTTACATTTTTGAACAAGTTTAAATATTTGTCTTTGCTTCCAGTGACCTACAGACACCCAATGTTACGCTTATCTAGAGTAGCTTTGCAATGAATGCAGGAAATCAGGTTTACATTTAAATTTAAATTCTCTCATTAAAGCTGTATAAATATTTAAAAAATTTCAAAGTTTTTCAGATTTTTCGAATTTTTAGCTTTAATCATACAGGCTGACCCTGGTTAGAATGATAGGGAAGGCTTTTCAGTTATTTTCTTTATTCTGGATTAATTGATGAGCTTACGAATTCAAATTTTGTGTGTTTTAATTCTTTTTCTTCTCTATGTATGTTTCGAAAAATCTAAGGTCCAACTGATATTTACAATTTGATCAACAATCAGTAAGGACCCAAATTAGTTTCCTTTCGTTTTCTCGGTAAAATTTTGCCTGCTCTTGAGCAAGCTGAAGTAGGTATTACTGCCCGATATAAAAGTTCCAAAACGAGCAATATACTACATTGATGCCGTTTTATTGTAACTTTGTTTTAAAAAATATCTGGGAAATCTTTACATGACAACGGAATTTATAAGAGAGCAGCTTTGAAACTTCATGTTGAAAACCTTAGCGAGGCCATATCAAAAACGTTAGCCCTACAATTCTCACTAACAAAAATATAAAAAGTACATTTTTTTTTCAAAATTGTAACATCATTTATGATGAGACCATTTGATTTTGTCATCTCCCTCGTTTGTTTTTCAACCTAGGTCTTCAGAGTGTCAAGAAGAGACATTGTTTGCGTTGGGAATAATTTTAGCGCGAAAATATCTTAACCTTGTGTAGTGACCTGGCCACTGCGAACCAGCAATAACTGGAAACAAGTAATAACTGGACGAGCATTGAGTTAACTGATAGTGGAATCAGACTGACACGTGTTGTCGGCTTGAAAGCCCATGGGAAAAGATTTCAATCAGGGGAGTAGGTGGAACTTCACGCACACAATTTAGCTATCTGCAGTTTATCATAGTTAAAGCTATTAGTTCAAGCATGTTTAGTTTAGTTCAATTAAGTTCAAAATCATAGGCTCTCAGTCATGACTTCGTCAACTATTCGCAACATGGTCTTCACTCGTGCCACTTGCTGGATGATTTCCCTGTCGTGTCGGTTTCTCAACGAGCCAATCAGAATGTCGTGTTCTCCTGAAGTCACCTTCAACTTCGTGCTCTGAGTAATCATTACGTTATGCAGTGCTTCTTCGTCTAGATCTGCAAATAAAAACAGAAATATGGCCGATCAACCCCAAAAGAAAAAGGTCAGATGTTCGAAAGGTCGGATGTTCGAGGCCCACCATGATCCATGCTTGTTGCTTGAGGGTGAGGCAACATTACCAGCCCAGAAAATTACCAAAAAAATACATGTAGTTCTTAAGCAGGGGCACAACAACGGTTCGCCGTAATGAGCTGTACAGCTCGTATATTGGTCCTTTCCCCTGTGGAGATGATTGGTCTAAAAAGAAATTGCTTTAGTGTCAGTATGCACTTATCAATTTCAGGGGGTGCGCGAAAAAAATGTGTTAGCAACATGAAATTTTTAACAGTTTTTTAGTAAAAATTTCTTTGCGACGCAGCGTTAAGATATCAGAAGAGCTCGAAAAACGGATCGGCCTAAAAAAAATTGACAAAACTTGCTAAAATGCAACCTGACGAAGTCTTGGATCCTAACCTTTACGCGAGTTCGGTAACAGTTTGTTAATACCATTTGGAGTATGTTTTTGCAATCAACTTTACTAGAATTAAAACGAGCCGAGTTTTTTCAGGAACAAAATGTGTTCATATCAGAACTCCGTCCACATCAAGTTAATTTTCCATATTGAGGTCTTATTTCCACAGCAACTTTTCTGAGTGAGAAAACAATCAGTGACTAACCATCTGATGCTTTAGCCTTGGCATGCAGCCTCTGCACTTGATTTGGAGTCTCGACTTCATTGAACAACTTCCCCGTGGACCCCAAAAACTCATTAAAATGAGGCTTGAAACCCAGCGATTTTCGAAGCCTACTGTGTTCCACGTTCTGTTCGTGCTTACAAATACCCGACTTTGAAAGCCTTTGTAGTGTCATGTGATAGTTCACGTGTCGCTCCAATGGGTCAATTCGTTTTTCACATTTTTCTGGCACTTTTAATGTCACTGGTTGGGGGGGACTTGGGACAGGAGTTTTGTCAGCGTTCCCTTCTTTTTCATCATTGTGTTTTTCATTCTCATCTGTGTCTTTATCGTCTCTGCCTGCGTCTGTTTCCTTCTCTTTCTGTTTGAACTGATCCGCTATTTCTTTTTTAACTGAAAGTGAGAGTTGTTATTTTGATTTGATCAAGGAGCATCAAAGTAAGGAGAAGGTTTTCGGTGGGGCGGGAAGTCTTGACCAATCTAACGGTCTCGACTCCTTCGTAAGGTTGGGGGTTGTATCTTCGTAATGTGGAAACTTAGCTCCAAAAAAACTTAATAGTTTCAATTATTTACAATACTCGCTGGTCTCGAAAAACAACTGATTTAATATTTGACAAAGCTTTTCCTACCAAAAATTCAAATTTACAATGATGCTAATTTTCTGTTTTTGTATAGTCGGGTGCAAAAAATGGTAGAGAAAAATTCATTTAAACACGCAAATGACCCCTAGAAAATTGCAAAAAGTTCGGACAGGCAGAATTAATTAACAAGAGCAGTCATTTTTATTTTGACAAACTTTTGCTAACTAGTTCGTTTTTTGTTGAGAGACTCAAGCTCGGTATGATATATAAGGTTTTGCGTGCAAAACATTTCCAAAAACAAATCAGATGCTCTGCTTAATTAATTTTGTCTGTCCGAATTTTTAGTTACTTATTAAATTCAGAAAATTTTTGCATAAAACCTTGTTTTCCAGATCAAAAATTATGTCCGAAGATTGCCTAAAAACTTCAGATTATTTTCAACTTTTACTACACTGGCAGATATTTGATTGTAACATGCCGATTTGAACATGTATTATTATGATTACTAATAGCAGGGACAGATCTAGGGTTTTCTCGAGGGGGAAGCGGATTTTCAAAAAAAGAGAGAATTGCAAAATTGGGAACAAACACTTAAATAAATTAGGCAATCTAATTTTTTATTAGATAGCTCTTTTTTTTCTTGCAATTCTCTATGAGAGTTTATAGTTTTTAACAATTATATTAGATAAAGTCCTTAGTTTTTGATTTTTGAAATTTTAAGGACCTTCAAGCAGAAAATTAAGTCTTACTTATTCTTTGAAGTTCCGCGTTTGCTTTTTTGTCGGTGTTGGCTGTTGTTTATCAGAAAAATTGCAGTTAATTAAAAAATTAAATTTTTTGCAAGACTCGTTTTGAACAACTATATCGAAACAGGTCCTAAATTTTTGAAATCTTTTGGACGATCAGGTTAGAAAATAAGTCTTACTTATTCTTTGAAGTTCTGCGTTCGCTTTTTCTCGGTGTTTACTGTTTTTTGATCTAAAAAATTGCAACTCTCTGTCTCAAGGTTAGAATTTCATCTTAAGATTGCATAAAAATTTCAGATTGCTTGCAGAGGTTGCTCTACACTTGCAGATTTTTGTTTGTATCATACCGATTGGAAAACATTTTAAAACAATAGAGGGTTGTTATTATTAGCAGTAGCAATTCTAGAATTTTCTCAAGAGAGGGGACGGATTTTCAAAAAAAAGATAACAGCAAAAAGTTGAAACAAATGCCGTTGAATAATTAAAGCACCCTATTAATTTTTTAGATTGCTCTATTTGAATTATTTTGGGTGGTTTTTTCAAAAAGTAATAGAGCATAAGAAATTTTTGCATTTTTGTATAAGGTATTAGTTTTTAACAATTAGTCGGATAAGATCTTATTTTTTGAGACCAAGCTACAAACTAAGTCTCAAATATTCTTTGAAGTTCCGCGTTTGTTTTTTCTCGGTGGTCAGAAAAATTGCATTGAGTGCTGAATTTTTTTTGAAGAAGTTACCTTGAAATTGCTCACAATAGATGCCACTGCAAAATAGATCCCTCTCAAAAATAGATACCCAGGACAGAGGTCGGACATAGATAGAAATCAAGGGGGCATTTCAACAAAAGTAGAGAAATGCAAAAAGTTGGAACAAACACTTTTGAATGAATAGAGCAACCTAATAACTTACTGATTTGTTCTATTCATTCGGACAAGGTCGAACATGGTCGAAAAAGGTCGGTCAAGATCAAACAAATAGAGAAATCGAGCGGGTGGATTTTCAAAAAAAATAGAGAAATGCAAAACGTTGGAACTAACAATTTCGAATAAATTGAGCAATCTAATAATTCATTAGATTGCCCTTGCTATTTATTCGGACCAGGTCGGACAAGGTCTTAAATTTTGGAAATATTTTTGACCTTTAAGCTAAAAATTGAGTTTTACTTATTTTTTGAAGGTGCGCGTTTGCTTTTGTCGGTGCTTTCTGTTGAGAAATCACCTTGAAATTGCTCAAAAGTAGATGCCTCTGAAAAAGCGCAATCAATTGTTGTTCTGACAGTTCTTATACACTTTGAAAAATTGCATAAGAATGGTCTGACAGTTCTTATGACAGTTCTTATGCATAATTTTCACGCCATTTTACTGCCTGAAGGTCAGAACTATTTCGAAATTTTCAGACGCTGTCGAAAACAATATGATAAAAACTACATTGATATTTTAAATTTACCGGACACAAGAAACAAAATTTGAAAATTCAAAGGCTGTTCTCAAACTAATTCCAGATAAGACAAGAAAAAAAGAGAACGAAATTGCTTAGAGTTTTACCAGAATTATTATAATTAAATTTTTTTGAAATGAAAGTATAGTGCAAAATTCGAAAAACAAATTGCACCTTGAAAATTCTGGTGAAAATTTAAGCAACTTATGTTTTCTTCAATTTTTGTCCAATCATGACCCAATTTGAGAAAACCTTTGACGTTTCAAGTTTTTGTTCGTTTTGTCCAGATAATTTAAATTAGAACTATATATTGCGAAGCAGTTGGCAACCAAATTTCATATAAGCAGAGAGTTGCACCGAGTTTGGACAAAAAATTTTAATGAAAAAAATTTTAATGAAAAGTTTTTTATTTTGAACTTGTTTGTGATGCTAGATGTTAGAGTTCTATAAAACTGGATAATTGAAGCGTTAAAAACTACAAGTTTTGTGTTTCTGAAGCGTTTTCTTCAGTCTAAAGTAACAGAATTTTTCTCTTTAGACTTCAATTTTCTGAATAGACATCCCTTCAATCCTAAGATAAGAAAGAAAACAGTGAAATCAAAATAATTTTTTCTATTTTCATGACTTGTTTGGGTCGTTTCACTTTTGACCAAAAGTTAACGTTTGTCATTCTCAAAAAAGAAAAAGCTATCGATCACGCTTTTTCGGAATTGAGCTTATTTATCTGCAAGTGTAGCCCAATAAACTTCTTAAAAACACAAATTTTATCACAGATGCAAGGCAAAATGATTGCCCTAATTCAGAAAAATAATTAATCCGGCAACTTGTTATCAGACAATTTTGCCCAAAAAATCGAGTTTGCAGAGTCTTTGCGGATGTAGTAATAATCAGTAGCGGATATAGGGGATGGGGGGCGAACGCCTCCTCCCTTACAAGAATTTGACTCCCTACCGACGCGAAGGGTCTCTTCTTTGAAGTTCTGCGTTCGCTTTTTCTCGGTGTTTACTGTTTTTTGATCTAAAAAATTGCAACTCTCTGTCTCAAGGTTAGAATTTCATCTTAAGATTGCATAAAAATTTCAGATTGCTTGCAGAGTTTGCTCTACACTGGCAGATTTTTGTTTGTATCATACCGATTGGAAAACATTTTAAAACAATAGAGGGTTGTTATTATTAGCAGTAGCAATTCTAGAATTTTCTCAAGAGAGGGGACGGATTTTCAAAAAAAAGATAACAGCAAAAAGTTGAAACAAATGCCGTTGAATAATTAAAGCACCCTATTAATTTTTTAGATTGCTCTATTTGAATTATTTTGGGTGGTTTTTTCAAAAAGTAATAGAGCATAAGAAATTTTTGCATTTTTGTATAAGGTATTAGTTTTTAACAATTAGTCGGATAAGATCTTATTTTTTGAGACCAAGCTACAAACTAAGTCTCACATATTCTTTGAAGTTCCGCGTTTGTTTTTTCTCGGTGGTCAGAAAAATTGCATTGAGTGCTGAATTTTTTTTGAAGAAGTTACCTTGAAATTGCTCACAATAGATGCCACTGCAAAATAGATCCCTCTCAAAAATAGATACCCAGGACAGAGGTCGGACATAGATAGAAATCAAGGGGGCATTTCAACAAAAGTAGAGAAATGCAAAAAGTTGGAACAAACACTTTTGAATGAATAGAGCAACCTAATAACTTACTGATTTGTTCTATTCATTCGGACAAGGTCGAACATGGTCGAAAAAGGTCGGTCAAGATCAAACAAATAGAGAAATCGAGCGGGTGGATTTTCAAAAAAAATAGAGAAATGCAAAACGTTGGAACTAACAATTTCGAATAAATTGAGCAATCTAATAATTCATTAGATTGCCCTTGCTATTTATTCGGACCAGGTCGGACAAGGTCTTAAATTTTGGAAATATTTCTGACCTTTAAGCTAAAAATTGAGTTTTACTTATTTTTTGAAGGTGCGCGTTTGCTTTTGTCGGTGCTTTCTGTTGAGAAATCACCTTGAAATTGCTCAAAAGTAGATGCCTCTGAAAAAGCGCAATCAATTGTTGTTCTGACAGTTCTTATACACTTTGAAAAATTGCATAAGAATGGTCTGACAGTTCTTATGACAGTTCTTATGCATAATTTTCACGCCATTTCACTGCCTGAAGGTCAGAACTATATCGAAATTTTCAGACGCTGTCGAAAACAATATGATAAAAACTACATTGATATTTTAAATTTACCGGACACAAGAAACAAAATTTGAAAATTCAAAGGCTGTTCTCAAACTAATTCCAGATAAGACAAGAAAAAAAGAGAACGAAATTGCTTAGAGTTTTACCAGAATTATTATAATTAAATTTTTTTGAAATGAAAGTATAGTGCAAAATTCGAAAAACAAATTGCACCTTGAAAATTCTGGTGAAAATTTAAGCAACTTATGTTTTCTTCAATTTTTGTCCAATCATGACCCAATTTGAGAAAACCTTTGACGTTTCAAGTTTTTGTTCGTTTTGTCCAGATAATTTAAATTAGAACTATATATTGCGAAGCAGTTGGCAACCAAATTTCATATAAGCAGAGAGTTGCACCGAGTTTGGACAAAAAATTTTAATGAAAAAAATTTTAATGAAAAGTTTTTTATTTTGAACTTGTTTGTGATGCTAGATGTTAGAGTTCTATAAAACTGGATAATTGAAGCGTTAAAAACTACAAGTTTTGTGTTTCTGAAGCGTTTTCTTCAGTCTAAGCTAACAGAATTTTTCTCTTTAGACTTCAATTTTCTGAATAGACATCCCTTCAATCCTAAGATAAGAAAGAAAACAGTGAAATCAAAATAATTTTTTCTATTTTCATGACTTGTTTGGGTCGTTTCACTTTTGACCAAAAGTTAACGTTTGTCATTCTCAAAAAAGAAAAAGCTATCGATCACGCTTTTTCGGAATTGAGCTTATTTATCTGCAAGTGTAGCCCAATAAACTTCTTAAAAACACAAATTTTATCACAGATGCAAGGCAAAATGATTGCCCTAATTCAGAAAAATAATTAATCCGGCAACTTGTTATCAGACAATTTTGCCCAAAAAATCGAGTTTGCAGAGTCTTTGCGGATGTAGTAATAATCAGTAGCGGATATAGGGGATGGGGGGCGAACGCCTCCTCCCTTACAAGAATTTGACTCCCTACCGACGCGAAGGGTCTCTTCTTTGAACTATTTTGAGGTATCCATTTTGGCTGATCTAAAATTTTTCTAAGGGTGTCTGTGGTGCCAAAGTTTACTATTTTTGAGGGGAAATTGCGCACCGAGCAAACTCGATGTTTTGATCAACATTTCCCAAAACTTCCTAAAAAGGCGTTTTTGTTCTGTTTTTCAAATATTTGCCTGCGGTGCCTGTTTACTTTTCTCTCTTTTTATTTAACACCAAACGTCCCAAAATGTCGGTATAATATATGTTATTATAATTATTATGATTTATATCATGATTATAATTTCTTATTGTTTCAGGAAAGGGAGGGTTGGTTGTTTCACTTTTGAAGGCCTTAAAAACAATGGTTTTTATTTATATTTAAGAAAAAAAACAATTCAAAATCATGCACTGGGACCAAAAAACATAGGTTGAAAATTAGGAAATAAAAACTGAAATTTGATAACTGATGTGCAATTAGAATTGAAAATAACTCACTTTTCAAATGCTTCCCGGCAACTTTGAGGTGATCGCCTTGTTCGGCAGATAAACCGTCTTCGATTATTCGTTCAAACTGAAAGTTCATCAAGTCTGACTTTTTCGGTTTTCGCTCAGTTCTAAACAATGTTTTAATAATGAAAAATGAACGCTTTGAAGTCCCTAAAACTTTTAGAATTGGCAACCGATTTAATATTAAAATTTTCAAACTAAGGTTTTCTTTCAGTTAAAATTGACCAAATTAAAACTTATTTAAACCCCGCCCACTGCGACCAAAGATTTGCTTTTACTATTTATGATCCAGCCGTAATCGTATTTTTTCTCAAACTCCAATCAGGCTTTGGCTCTTTTTCCATTCGCCCCAAATGAATTCAACTATCTAACACTCATAGTAATAACACTACCAATAACCTATAGTTCAATTGAAGCACCAAATTCTAAATTTTAAAATGTTGCACAGAAATAACAAATTAAATAAGATGAGGAAAAATTGCAAAACCGAGGTAGAAGCAAAATTTTATAATGTCAGTAAAAATGCAAAGTATCTTGTAAAAATTTGGAAAAAAATGCATTTTCAGGGCGGGTAATCACTGAGGTATCAAATATTGCTTTTTCACACTTCTTTGGTCGTGGCAGAAACAGTTCGAAGTCGTTTCTTCGGGCCTCGTCTCCATACTTGCTAAAAGTTAATTTTGGCTTTTCTTCCGATTCAGTTGTATCTTCTGCCATCAATTTGAAGATTTTTTTAAAATAAGAAAAGGATGATTTTCTTAAATTTAGTTTAGCTTGAATTGAATAATGTTGAGATTAACTCCAACGTTCAAACGCTTTGATTAATTGTTTTCAATAATGTTTGCAATAACAAGTTTTTAATTGTTTTCAATACTGTAGAATTGAAACCGAATTCGTATTTTTCTTCTAATTGGTTTTGATGATGTAGAATTCAAAACCACCAGGCATTGAAAAAGAAGCAAACGAAAGCACAATCTTTACAGTTTTTCAGCCTCTTACACCGATAATCTCTCTGTGTTTTTGTGTGACTAAGCCAGTGCCACACACAAATGCTGCATTCATACTTGTTGTCGTCATAAAAACTAAGCTTCTTTTTGTATGTTCAATCGACTTTTGTTTTCATCACAGTTTGATAAAAGGTATAATACGACCAATAACTGGAATTTCCAGTTCCAGCGACATCTGGAGTTAAATCGCAAAATTCTAGAGTTTAGATACAAAAAAAGGTAGAAACTTGCACATGGTTTCAAACAAAAGTGTGAGAAGCCGAGCTACTCAGACTTTTTTTGTCATTTAGAAGCTGATCAATCATATCTTTGATCAGGGGGGGGGGATCTAGGATTTTCTCGAAGGGGGGGGGGGATTTTCAAAAAATTTTCATAATTTTGTTGAATTTTTTCAGGTCGACCAAATTGATTTTCCGAGTTTTCCCAAATCACTAAAAGGATCATGTTTTGGCCAATTTTTTTTGTGCATCGATGACAAAACAATTGGCAAAAAAAGGCGTTTTTAGGCACTTTTTGGACAATTTTGACCAAAAAAATTGGTTTTTTTTCAACACCCCCCCCCTTTCAAATTAGTATAGATTTGCGCCTTAAAAAATTTTAAGGTCAGCTAGCCAACAATGAAGGTCTTAAAATAGTAAAGTAGTACCAATATAGGTACTCTTTGAGTAGTCAGGGGGTGGAATCTTTGAGGGGGGGGGGGGGGGCAAGATAAAAACCGAGCAAGATAAAACCGAGCAAAGTGTTAATTTTTATACAGATATCGGCGAAAGCAGAGTAAGGTGTGTTAGAAAGATTGCGATGTATGACAGAACATTCTAAAAATACACAACACGCACTTGGATGAAAATTTTGATCAAATGAACTATAAAAGGTTACAGAATTCATGAAAAAGATCCGCAAGAATTTGTTTTGAGAAGATATTTAAAAAAACTGAGTAATTCATTAGCAATAAACTCTCAAATTACTTCTCAAATTACATAGACTAGTCGATTCAATATCGTTTTTGGCTCAAGGTTTAGTGAATGAAAATTAAAATGAAAACGCAAAAAAAGCTAACGCGAGATAAATCGATTGAGATATCGGCTCGATGAGATAATATGAATCAGTAGTGATAGCTTTTGGGTGTGTCCATGAACATAACGAATCACAGCACACTGAATGAAATTAAACAGCATAAATAGCTTAGCAAATAGCCCTGGTCAACTACTAAGAGATTATGTTAAAACATACACATTCAAGCCCTAGCCGAGGTCCGCGACGTATCTCGGGACCAAAGGATGTCGCAGAAATGTCCATCGCCGGTTAAGAAAACCTCCTTTGCGTCAAAGTCTGAGTCGCGCAAAGTCACCACAAAAGTCGCGCAAAATCGCAAGTTTAGATCACCTTCTTTTCACTCCATAATTTTAAAATCTAGATCCTACAGATGTAACAGGTTTTTTTGATCTTTACCGTCCCGAACAATCCATTCAGAGTCTCATGCCAACACTAGGTTTCCAATCAAACCGAGTTCCCATGGTCAACACTAGAGTTCCCATGGTCAAACCGGAGATTTTCAGTCTCAATGGTCTGAAGATTTCAATTTTTGGTTCCAAGGGTGTGAACCGGTCAAATTTCGGTATCAACGCTCTAAACGTGCCAAATTTTAGTCCCTACAGTCTGAAACAAAACCACGACCTCTAATTATGAGCAATGTCAAACAAAATTGAAAGTTTGAGAACAAAAAATAATAATTTTTAATCTGGTAAAGTCTGAAAGGCCGAACCAAACCAAACAAAACACGACAAAGTGGAACAAATTCATTAAAAATCTGGTTCAGCCGGACAAAGACAAGCAAAGACGGATTTCATCCGAAAGTATAAGAAAAAACATTTTGAGTCGCGAGTGTTGCACCATTTTTTTGAGCCGCGCATAGTCGGGAAATTTCTTCAAGGCCTCGCAAAGTTCCGACATACCCATTTTGAGTCGCAATGATCACAACATACCCATTTTAAGTCGCTATGATCACAATATACCCATTTTGAGTTGCAATGGTCACGACTTACCCGTGTTGGGTGGCGATGGTTGCGACATAGGTCACCACTCTCGGCCCAAGAGCTGTAATGCGCTGTGACCTAAATGATTTTTACTGGAAAACTTTTACCAACTGTAGCAATTTTGTTTTAGAAGCAATATCTTGCTCAAGTTTTTCTGAGTTTTCTGAGTTTTCTCTCTCAGTTTCTCTGAGTTTTATCTCTGTTGTTTTAATTTTCTCGCTGAGAATGTTTCACGTCACATGAACAAATTCTTTACTCCGCTTAATCGAGAAAGAGTTCACTAGGATCCAAAACTTAGTGTAGATGAGGAAAACTGGAATTTTCAGACCCGGATTACATTGGTATGTCATTGAAACCAAATACTGATAGTTCCATAGGAGGTAGCTTTTAGAATGTTTTGTTGGTCTATGTAAAAGTTCTATTGAACTTCGAAGGTGTGTGTTGTCCAAAGTGGACATTGAAAACAGGCATTTTAGAGAGTAAAATCCTGAGTTTGCGCTTAATTTTGATCCCTAGTTTATGATCAGACAATCGATACCAAAATTTGGTCTTTCCAGACTTTTGCTACCAAATGTTGGTATTTTGAGACTTTGCAGAACTAGGCACGGTGTCTTCGACCGGCGCTACCGAATGAAAATTAACTAAGACCGGCGTAACCAAACCAAACTCGGGTTGAGGTAGCTGCGTTATGATCAAATTGTTAAATTTTCTATGACCAGAGCGTCGCATGTTCAGAGACGAGAATTCAATTTATTCCATGGGAAACCTGAACGGATTATTTGTGGCCAACAAAAATCCGTTAAGACCTCAGACCTTGACGAGAAAAAATACCGAAAGCATCCGCTAGGACTGCGGGGACCAGATATTGACATGTTCAGACCAAGGGGACTCGCAGTGGATTAACGACTAGTTTTTCGATCATGTCGCGAATAAGTTTTTGACCATTTGACCATGTCGCGAAAAATTGTTCGACCATGTCGCCTCTTTTTAGCCATACCGCGCAGTAGCGAAGCGGATTCATAGGGCGAAGGACGGGGGGAGGGGTGTCCTGCCGAATCAAAGGTCCCCCTTTGTTCTATTTTGAGATATCAATTTTCGGCTGAGAGACCGCAAAAAAAGCTAAAAAAGCTAACGCGAGATAAATCGATTGAGATATCGGTTCAATGGGATAATATGAATCAGTTATGATAGCTTTTGGGTGTGTCCATGAACATAACGAATCACAGCACACTGAATGAAATTAAACAGCATGAATAGCTTAGTAAATAGCCCTGGTCAACTACTAAGAAATTATGTTAAAACATACACATTCAAGCCCTAGCCGAGGTCCGCGACGTATCTCGGGACCAAAGGATGTCGCAGAAATGTCCATCGCCGGTTAAGAAAACCTCCTTTGCGTCAAAGTCTGAGTCGCGCAAAGTCACCACAAAAGTCGCGCAAAATCGCAAGTTTAGATCACCTTCTTTTCGCTCCATAATTTTAAAATCTAGATCCTACAGATGTAACAGGTTTTTTTGATCTTTACCGTCCCGAACAATCCATTCAGAGTCTCATGCCAACACTAGGTTTCCAATCAAACCGAGTTCCCATGGTCAACACTAGAGTTCCCATGGTCAAACCGGAGATTTTCAGTCTCAATGGTCTGAAGATTTCAATTTTTGGTTCCAAGGGTGTGAACCGGTCAAATTTCGGTATCAACGCTCTAAACGTGCCAAATTTTAGTCCCTACAGTCTGAAAACAAAACCACGACCTCTAATTATGAGCAATGTCAAACAAAATTGAAAGTTTGAGAACAAAAAATAATAATTTTTAATCTGGTAAAGTCTGAAAGGCCGAACCAAACCAAACAAAACACGACAAAGTGGAACAAATTCATTAAAAATCTGGTTCAGCCGGACAAAGACAAGCAAAGACGGATTTCATCCGAAAGTATAAGAAAAAACATTTTGAGTCGCGAGTGTTGCACCATTTTTTTGAGCCGCGCATAGTCGGGAAATTTCTTCAAGGACTCGCAAAGTTCCGACATACCCATTTTGAGTCGCAATGATCACAACATACCCATTTTAAGTCGCTATGATCACAATATACCCATTTTGAGTTGCAATGGTCACGACTTACCCGTGTTGGGTGGCGATGGTTGTGACATAGGTCACCACTCTCGGCCCAAGAGCTGTAATGCGCTGTGACCTAAATGATTTTTACTGGAAAACTTTTACCAACTGTAGCAATTTTGTTTTAGAAGCAATATCTTGCTCAAGTTTTTCTGAGTTTTCTGAGTTTTCTCTCTCAGTTTCTCTGAGTTTTATCTCTGTTGTTTTAATTTTCTCGCTGAGAATGTTTCACGTCACATGAACAAATTCTTTACTCCGCTTAATCGAGAAAGAGTTCACTAGGATCCAAAACTTAGTGTAGATGAGGAAAACTGGAATTTTCAGACCCGGATTACATTGGTATGTCATTGAAACCAAATACTGATAGTTCCATAGGAGGTAGCTTTTAGAATGTTTTGTTGGTCTATGTAAAAGTTCTATTGAACTTCGAAGGTGTGTGTTGTCCAAAGTGGACATTGAAAATAGGCATTTTAGAGAGTAAAATCCTGAGTTTGCGCTTAATTTTGATCCCTAGTTTATGATCAGACAATCGATACCAAAATTTGGTCATTCCAGACTTTTGCTACCAAATGTTGGTATTTTGAGACTTTGCAGAACTAGGCACGGTGTCTTCGACCGGCGCTACCGAATGAAAATTAACTAAGACCGGCGTAACCAAACCAAACTCGGGTTGAGGTAGCTGCGTTATGATCAAATTGTTAAATTTTCTATGACCAGAGCGTCTCATGTTCAGAGACGAGAATTCAATTTATTCCATGGGAAACCTGAACGGATTATTTGTGGCCAACAGAATCCGTTAAGACCTCAGACCTTGACGAGAAAAAATACCAAAAGCATCCGCTAGGACTGCGGGGACCAGATATTGACATGTTCAGACCAAGGGGACTCGCAGTGGATTAACGACTAGTTTTTCGATCATGTCGCGAATAAGTTTTTGACCATTTGACCATGTCGCGAAAAATTGTTCGACCATGTCGCCTCTTTTTAGCCATACCGCGCAGTAGCGAAGCGGATTCATAGGGCGAAGGACGGGGGGAGGGGTGTCCTGCCGAATCAAAGGTCCCCCTTTGTTCTATTTTGAGATATCAATTTTCGGCTGAGAGACCGCAAAAAAAGCTAAAAAAGCTAACGCGAGATAAATCGATTGAGATATCGGTTCAATGAGATAATATGAATCAGTTATGATAGCTTTTGGGTGTGTCCATGAACATAACGAATCACAGCACACTGAATGAAATTAAACAGCATGAATAGCTTAGTAAATAGCCCTGGTCAACTACTAAGAGATTATGTTAAAACATACACATTCAAGCCCTAGCCGAGGTCCGCGACGTATCTCGGGACCAAAGGATATCGCAGAAATGTCCATCGCCGGTTAAGAAAACCTCCTTTGCGTCAAAGTCTGAGTCGCGCAAAGTCACCACAAAAGTCGCGCAAAATTGCAAGTTTAGATCACCTTCTTTTCACTCCATAATTTTAAAATCTAGATCCTACAGATGTAACAGGTTTTTTTGATCTTTACCGTCCCGAACAATCCATTCAGAGTCTCATGCCAACACTAGGTTTCCAATCAAACCGAGTTCCCATGGTCAACACTAGAGTTCCCATGGTCAAACCGGAGATTTTCAGTCTCAATGGTCTGAAGATTTCAATTTTTGGTTCCAAGGGTGTGAACCGGTCAAGTTTCGGTATCAACGCTCTAAACGTGCCAAATTTTAGTCCCTACAGTCTGAAAACAAAACCACGACCTCTAATTATGAGCAATGTCAAACAAAGTTGAAAATTTGAGAACAAAAAATAATAATTTTTAATCTGGTAAAGTCTGAAAGGCCGAACCAAACCAAACAAAACACGACAAAGTGGAACAAATTCATTAAAAATCTGGTTCAGCCGGACAAAGACAAGCAAAGACGGATTTCATCCGAAAGTATAAGAAAAAACATTTTGAGTCGCGAGTGTTGCACCATTTTTTTGAGCCGCGCATAGTCGGGAAATTTCTTCAAGGCCTCGCAAAGTTCCGACATACCCATTTTGAGTCGCAATGATCACAACATACCCATTTTAAGTCGCTATGATCACAATATACCCATTTTGAGTTGCAATGGTCACGACTTACCCGTGTTGGGTGGCGATGGTTGCGACATAGGTCACCACTCTCGGCCCAAGAGCTGTAATGCGCTGTGACCTAAATGATTTTTACTGGAAAACTTTTACCAACTGTAGCAATTTTGTTTTAGAAGCAATATCTTGCTCAAGTTTTTCTGAGTTTTCTGAGTTTTCTCTCTCAGTTTCTCTGAGTTTTATCTCTGTTGTTTTAATTTTCTCGCTGAGAATGTTTCACGTCACATGAACAAATTCTTTACTCCGCTTAATCGAGAAAGAGTTCACTAGGATCCAAAACTTAGTGTAGATGAGGAAAACTGGAATTTTCAGACCCGGATTACATTGGTATGTCATTGAAACCAAATAACTTTTTTAACTGAAAGTGAGAGTTGTTATTTTGATTTGATCATGGAGCATCAAAGTAAGGAGAAGGTTTTCGGTGGGGCGGGAAGTCTTGACCAATCTAACGGTCTCGACTCCTTCGTAAGGTTGGGGGTTGTATCTTCGTAATGTGGAAACTTAGCTCCAAAAAAACTTAATAGTTTCAATTATTTACAATACTGGCTGGTCTCGAAAAACAACTGATTTAATATTTGACAAAGCTTTTCCTACCGAAAATTCAAATTTACAATGATGCTAATTTTCTGTTTTTGTATAGTCGGGTGCAAAAAATGGTAGAGAAAAATTCATTTAAACACGCAAATGACCCCTAGAAAATTGCAAAAAGTTCGGACAGGCAGAATTAATTAACAAGAGCAGTCATTTTTATTTTGACAAACTTTTGCTAACTAGTTCGTTTTTTGTTGAGAGACTCAAGCTCGGTATGATATTTAAGGTTTTGCGTGCAAAACATTTCCGAAAACAAATCAAATGCTCTGCTTAATTAATTTTGTCTGTCCGAATTTTTAGTTACTTATTAAATTCAGAAAATTTTTGCATAAAACCTTGTTTTCCAGACCAAAAATTATGTCCGAAGATTGCCTAAAAACTTCAGATTGTTTTCAACCTTTACTACACTGACAGATATTTGATTGTAACATGCCGATTTGAACATGTATTATTATGATTACTAATAGCAGGGACAGATCTAGGGTTTTCTCGAGGGGGAAGCGGATTTTCAAAAAAAAGAGAGAATTGCAAAATTGGGAACAAACACTTAAATAAATTAGGCAATCTAATTTTTTATTAGATAGCTCTTTTTTTTCTTGCAATTCTCTATGAGAGTTTATAGTTTTTAACAATTATATTAGATAAAGTCCTTAGTTTTTGATTTTTGAAATATTAAGGACCTTCAAGCAGAAAATTAAGTCTTACTTATTCTTTGAAGTTCCGCGTTTGCTTTTTTGTCGGTGTTTGCTGTTGTTTATCAGAAAAATTGCAGTTAATTAAAAAAATAAATTTTTTGCAAGACTCGTTTTGAACAACTATATCGAAACAGGTCCTAAATTTTTGAAATCTTTTGGACGATCAGGTTAGAAAATAAGTCTTACTTATTCTTTGAAGTTCTGCGTTCGCTTTTTCTCGGTGTTTACTGTTTTTTGATCTGAAAAATTGCAACTCTCTGTCTCAAGGTTAGATTTTCATCTTAAGATTGCATAAAAATTTCAGATTGCTTGCAGAGTTTGCTCTACACTGGCAGATTTTTGTTTGTATCATACCGATTGGAAAACATTTTAAAACAATAGAGGGTTGTTATTATTAGCAGTAGCAATTCTAGAATTTTCTCGAGAGAGGGGACGGATTTTCAAAAAAAAGATAACAGCAAAAAGTTGAAACAAATGCCGTTGAATAATTAAAGCACCCTATTAATTTTTTAGATTGCTCTATTTGAATTATTTTGGGTGGTTTTTTCAAAAAGTAATAGAGCATAAGAAATTTTTGCATTTTTGTATAAGGTATTAGTTTTTAACAATTAGTCGGATAAGATCTTATTTTTTGAGACCAAGCTACAAACTAAGTCTCACATATTCTTTGAAGTTCCGCGTTTGTTTTTTCTCGGTGGTCAGAAAAATTGCATTGAGTGCTGAATTTTTTTTGAAGAAGTTACCTTGAAATTGCTCACAATAGATGCCACTGCAAAATAGATCCCTCTAAAAAATAGATACCCAGGACAGAGGTCGGACATAGATAGAAATCAAGGGGGCATTTCAACAAAAGTAGAGAAATGCAAAAAGTTGGAACAAACACTTTTGAATGAATAGAGCCAGCTAATAACTTACTGATTTGTTCTATTCATTCGGACAAGGTCGAACATGGTCGAAAAAGGTCGGTCAAGATCAAACAAATAGAGAAATCGAGCGGGTGGATTTTCAGAAAAAATAGAGAAATGCAAAACGTTGGAACTAACAATTTCGAATAAATTGAGCAATCTAATAATTCATTAGATTGCCCTTGCTATTTATTCGGACCAGGTCGGACAAGGTCTTAAATTTTGGAAATATTTCTGACCTTTAAGCTAAAAATTGAGTTTTACTTATTTTTTGAAGGTGCGCGTTTGCTTTTGTCGGTGCTTTCTGTTGAGAAATCACCTTGAAATTGCTCAAAAGTATATGCCTCTGAAAAAGCGCAATCAATTGTTGTTCTGACAGTTCTTATACACTTTGAAAAATTGCATAAGAACGGTCTGACAGTTCTTATGACAGTTCTTATGCATAATTTTCACGCCATTTCACTGCCTGAAGGTCGAAAACAATATGATAAACTACATTGATGTTTTAAATTTACCGGACACAAGAAACAAAATTTGAAAATTCAAAGGCTGTTCTCAAACTAATTCCAGATAAGACAAGAAAAAAAGAGAACAAAATTGCTTAGAGTTTTACCAGAATTATTATAATTAAATTTTTTTGAAATGAAAGTATAGTGCAAAATTCGAAAAACAAATTGCACCTTGAAAATTCAGGTGAAAATTTAAGCAACTTATGTTTTCTTCAATTTTTGTCCAATCATGACCCAATTTGAGAAAACCTTTGACGTTTCAAGTTTTTGTTCGTTTTGTCCAGATAATTTAAATTAGAACTATATATTGCGAAGCAGTTGGCAACCAAATTTCATATAAGCAGAGAGTTGCACCGAGTTTGGACAAAAAATTTTAATGAAAAAAATTTTAATGAAAAGTTTTTTATTTTGAACTTTTTTGTGATGCTAGATGTTAGAGTTCTATAAAACTGGATAATTGAAGCGTTAAAAACTACAAGTTTTGTGTTTCTGAAGCGTTTTCTTCAGTCTAAGCTAACAGAATTTTTCTCTTTAGACTTCAATTTTCTGAATAGACATCCCTTCAATCCTAAGATAAGAAAGAAAACAGTGAAATCAAAATAATTTTTTCTATTTTCATGACTTGTTTGGGTCGTTTCACTTTTGACCAAAAGTTAACGTTTGTCATTCTCAAAAAAGAAAAATCTATCAATCACGCTTTTTCGGAATTGAGCTTATTTATCTGCAAGTGCAACCCAATAAACTTCTTAAAAACACAAATTTTATCACAGATGCAAGGCAAAATGATTGCCCTAATTCAGAAAAATAATTAATCCGGCAAATTGTTATCAGACAATTTTGCCCAAAAAATCGAGTTTGCAGAGTCTTTGCGGATGTAGTAATAATCAGTAGCGGATATAGGGGATGGGGGGCGAACGCCTCCTCCCTTAAAAGAATTTGACTCCCTACCGACGCGAAGGGTCTCTTCTTTGAACTATTTTGAGGTATCCATTTTGGCTGATCTAAAATTTTTCTAAGGGTGTCTGTGGTGCCAAAGTTTACTATTTTTGAGGGGAAATTGCGCACCAAGCAAACTCGATGTTTTGATCAACATTTCCCAAAACTTCCTAAAAAGGCGTTTTTGTTCTGTTTTTCAAATATTTGCCTGCGGTGCCTGTTTACTTTTCTCTCTTTTTATTTAACACCAAACGTCCCAAAATGTCGGTATAATATATGTTATTATAATTATTATGATTTATATCATGATTATAATTTCTTATTGTTTCAGGAAAGGGAGGGTTGGTTGTTTCACTTTTGAAGGCCTTAAAAACAATGGTTTTTATTTATATTTAAGAAAAAAAAACAATTCAAAATCATGCACTGGGACCAAAAAACATAGGTTGAAAATTAGGAAATAAAAACTGAAATTTGATAACTGATGTGCAATTAGAATTGAAAATAACTCACTTTTCAAATGCTTCCCGGCAACTTTGAGGTGATCGCCTTGTTCGGCAGATAAACCGTCTTCAATTATTCGTTCAAACTGAAAGTTCATCAAGTCTGACTTTTTCGGTTTTCGCTCAATTCTAAACAATGTTTTAATAATGAAAAATGAACGCTTTGAAGTCCCTAAAACTTTTAGAATTGGCAACCGATTTAATATTAAAATTTTCAAACTAAGGTTTTCTTTCAGTTAAAATTGACCAAATTAAAACTTATTTAAACCCCGCCCACTGCGACCAAAGATTTGCTTTTACTATTCATGATCCAGCCGTAATCGCATTTTTTTCTCAAACTCCAATCAGCCTTTGGCTCTTTTTCCATTCGCCCCAAATGGTTTCAACTATCTAACACTCAGAGTAATAACACTACCAATAACCTAGTTAAATTGAAGCACCAAATTCTAAATTTTAAAATGTTGCACAGAAATAACAAGTTAAATAAGATGAGGAAAAATTGCAAAACCGAGGTAGAAACAAAATTCTAAAATGTCAGTAAAAATGCAAAGTATCTTGTAAAAATTCTTAAAAAATGCATTTTCAGGGCGGGTAATCACTGTGAGGTATCAAATATTGTTTTTTCACACTTCTTTGGTCGTGGCAGAAACAGTTCGAAGTCGTTTCTTCGGGCCTCGTCTCCATACTTGCTAAAAGTTAATTTTGGCTTTTCTTCCGATTCAGTTGTATCTTCTGCCATCAATTTGAAGATTTTTTTAAAATAAGAAAAGGATGATTTTCTTAAATTTAGTATAGCTTGAATTGAATAATGTTGAGATTAACTCCAACGTTCAAACGCTTTGATTAATTGTTTTCAGTAATGTTTGCAATAACGAGTTTTTAATTGTTTTCAATACTGTAGAACTGAAACCGAATTCGTATTTTTCTTCTAATTGGTTTTGATGATGTAGAATTGAAAACCACCAGGCATTGAAAAAGAAGCAAACGAAAGCACAATCTTTACAGTTTTTCAGCCTCTTACACCGATAATCTCTCTGTGTTTTTGTGTGACTAAGCCAGTGCCACACACAAGTGCTGCATTCATACTTGTTGTCGTCATAAAAACTAAGCTTCTGATTGTATGTTCAATCGACTTTTGTTTTCATCACAGTTTGATAAAAGGTATAATACGACCAATAACTGGAATTTCCAGTTCCAGCGACATCTGGAGTTAAATCGCAAAATTCTAGAGTTTAGATACAAAAAAAGGTAGAAACTTGCACATGGTTTCAAACAAAAGTGTGAGAAGCCGAGCTACTCAGACTTTTTTTGTCATTTAGAAGCTGATCAATCATATCTTTGATCAGGGGGGGGGGGATCTAGGATTTTCTCGAAGGGGGGGGATTTTCAAAAAATTTTCATAATTTTGTTGAATTTTTTCAGGTCGACCAAATCACTAAAAGGATCATGTTTTGGCCAATTTTTTTTGTGCATCGATGACAAAACAATTGGCAAAAAAAGGCGTTTTTAGGCACTTTTTGGACAATTTTGACCAAAAAAATTGGTTTTTTTTCAACACCCCCCCTTTCAAATTAGTATAGATTTGCGCCTTAAAAAATTTTAAGGTCAGCTAGCCAACAATGAAGGTCTTAAAATAGTAAAGTAGTACCAATATAGGTACTCTTTGAGTAGTCAGGGGGTGGAATCTTTGAGGGGGGGCAAGATAAAAACCGAGCAAGATAAAACCGAGCAAAGTGTTAATTTTTATACAGATATCGGCGAAAGCAGA